AAAGGATGCTTACTAATGGATTCTCATCTACTTGGAGAGAAGTGACCAGTGGGATGCCACAGGGTTCTGTCAAGAGCCCAGTGCTGTTCAACAGCTTTTTCAATAAGTTTGCTGATGGAATAGAATACATGCTTATCAAATTTGTAAATGATACTAAATTTGGAGGGGTAGCTCATACAGAGGACAAGATTGGAATCCAAAATGACCTTCACAGATTAGAAAGCTGGGCCTATTTTTTAAAATTAATTTCAACCAGGAAAAATGTGTGGTACTGCATTTAGGCAATAAAAATGAAATGCACAGATGCAGGGTGGGTGATACCTGTCTTGAAAAGAGTACATGTGAAAGAGATCTAGGGGTCTTAGTAGACTACAAACTGAACACAAGTCAACAGTGTGACGTGGCGGCTAAAAAAGTCAACATAATTCTAGGCTGCATCAATATATATGGCTTCTAGATCAAGGAAACACATAGTCCCACTCTATTCTGCTTTGGTCAAATGTCACCTGGAATTCTGTGTCCAATCAAGGATATTGACAACCTGGAATGTGTCCATAGAAGGGTGACCAAAATGATCAAAGGTTTGGATGACGAGCCTTATGAAGAGCAGCTTAGGGAACTGGGAATGTTTAGCTTGGAGTACAGAAGACTGAGTGGGGACATGGCAGTCATGTTCAAATATTCGAAAGGATGTCACATCGAGGAGAGGCAAGCTTGTTTTCTGCTCTGGAGACTAGGACACGGAACAATGGGTTCAAATAGTAGGAAAAAAAATCCACTTAAACATTTGGAAGAACTTCCTGTCAGTAAGAGCTATTAAGCAGTGGAATATGCTGCATCAAATAATAATAATAATAATAATAATAATAATAATAATAATTATTATTATTATTATTATTATTATTATTATAGTGGAATCTCCTACTCTGGAAATTTTGAAGCAGAGGTTGGATGGTCGTTTCATGTAGCAGTTAACTCTAGATTTAGCCATATACACACATATCTGATATATTCTCTAAGATATAATACTTTAAAAAATGCAAAGAGCCATTGCATGATTACTTACGATGGTGGGCAGGTTTACACTGTAGCAGACAGTGATGTGAATACTCACGTTCCAAACTATTTAGGCTATAAATATCAAAACCTATTCCTTGCGATGTGCGTGGAAACAAGCAGGGAGCCACTGACAGTTTCTGTGATAAATGACCTCTGCATCGTGAGGACAGGTAGAAGTGTTTACATTTGCAGCTTGTTGTTGCATTTTTGGCAAACCAAACATGGAATTATTGGGCAGCAAAGTTCCAGATACCTGTTTTACACACCCAAGTTGTTTTTGAGTGACAGCTGCCTTTTCTACAGCAGCACCTTCAGGGCTATGTTTTGCTGGAATCTCTGCATTCCATTGTGGTTTTGTACATGAGCCATCTTGAAGCGAACTCTCTTGGCATTCACTATTAAGTAAGTTGATCAGCAAATATTATTTTTGCATTATTTTAGTCACCGAGAAAGGCATTGCAGTTATTGTGTGTATGGGGCTGTAATGCTTTGGAATTTGACCCGATTACATATAAAGAGGAACAATTTTTCTCCCTCTACATTGACCACTGAAACTGCAGGAGAAAGAAAACAGGAAGAGTTATAAGGTTCAGAAAACACTGAATGGTTCAGAAAACTAGTGGCTATGAGCCTGAACTGCCAACCAGAAAAACTCTTGGGGCTCAAAGAACCTTTTGCCATGAACCCAATTGCAGGCAAATGATTGAATGAACCTAGAACTGATGGTAGATTGGGTTAAAACTGTGTGGAGCAGAAGATCAGGTGTGCTACCAAAACACCTTGCTCTGCTAGTTTTGGACAGTTTCCAAAGTTGCTTCGGAAACTGAAGCAACTTATCTGTGACAATAAGACAGAAGAGGTAGTGATTCCTGGTGGCTTAACCTCTATCTTGGAGCCACTGGATATATCAGTGAACAAGCCCTTTGCAGACCACGTGTGCCATTTGGATTTTTATTTATCGTGTCAGGAGCAAACCAAACAGTTGTATTGCATTTTTAACAAACAAGCTTGGTAGTTTTGCAAACTCAGAGCTGCGGCTTTCTTCCCCCATTATGCTGTCTCCCTTGTTTCCGACTGTGTATATATGCACTCTCAAGTCGTCTATCTTAAGCAAGGAATACTTGGTGATTTTGCCAGGGCCAGCCCAGTCCTATAAAACACTGGCCCTGCTTAGCTTCGAAGATTAGACAGGCTCTGATGCCTAGGATGTTTAGGGGATTTAGGCCCATGTCTTACTGCCTTCCACTTTACCTAGCATTATTGTGTTTTTGAAGTTAGCCATTTCATCTCATGGTATGTCCAAAACCTCAGTTTAGTCATCTTCACTTCAGGCTTGCTTTCTTCTGAGACTCACTGATTTGTCTTTTTAACAATTCACATTATATTGTCGAAGGCTTCCATGGCCAGAATCACTGGGTTGTTGTAGGTTTTTTGGGCTGTATGGCCATATTCTGGAAGCATTCTGTCCTGATGTTTTGCCTGCATCTGTGGCAGGCATCCTCAGAGGTTGTGAGGTCCTCGCAACCTCTCAGGATGCCTGCCATAGATGTAGGTGAAACATCAGGAGGGAATGTATCCAGAACATGGCCATACAGCCCAAAAAATGTACAACAACCCAATTCACATTATTCCTAGAACTCTTTTCCATTTCACTCAGGTCGATTTTCTTCCTGTTAGCTTTCTTCACTGTTTAGTTTCCACAATCATACATAGAACTTGTAAATACTATTAATACTATTGCTCAGATCAGGGATGAGGGAGACGTCTGACCTGTGGGCTGTATATGGCCTAGCTGAATCTGACTCTGGCCCCTTTCACACAGCTTTATAAAATCGACATTGAAGAGGGTTATATGGCAGTGTGCACTCAGATAATCCAGTTCAAATCAGATATTGTGGATTATCTGCCTTGATATTCTGGGTTATTGGGCTGTGTGGAAGGGCCCTCTGATATTCAATTATATGTTTTAATACATGAGAATCCACACAGCCCTATATCCCAGAATCTCAAGGCAGGAAATCCCACATTGTCTAAGTGTGGACTGAGATAACCCAGTTCAAAGAAGATATTGTGGGATTTTCTGCCTTGATATTCTGGGATATAGGGCTGTATGGAAGGGCCTTTAGTTCCTTCGTAACTGCCTTATAAGCCAAAGCATTCTTCTGATTTCTTTTACTTATTGAATGAGCCAAGGTATTTTTATTGTCTTTCTTTATGCAAATTATCAATGATGATTATGTTTGTCTTTCTAATATTCAGGTCTAAACCTTCTTTTATACTTTTCTGATTCTTTAACTTTCAACAGTAGTCATTCCAAGTCTTTTATATTTTCTGCAAGTAATATGCATAACTTAAATTGTTGATGTTTCATCCTTCAAACTGATACGAGCTTCCTCGGAATCTAGTCCTGTTTCTGTATGATACGTTCTGCTTACAAATCAAACCAATAAGGTAATAAATGCAATTTCTTCTGACTCCTTTCACAATGGGAAATCATTCTGCTTTGATATATGGCTTCATGTCAGTTGCCTCTTGTTCAGAGTTTAGGTTATATATCAGATGTTGTTGCAGTACTATTTCTTTTAGACCAGATCATAATTTCTCATCTGCACTCAAAGGCTTTGCTGAAATCTATAAATTTCCTTCTGCAATTCTTTGATGCTTGTTGTTATCCAACATACATTTACAATACTATCTTCATTGCCTCTTCCATTTCTAAATCTATCATGGACACCTGGCATTTCTCACTCCATTTATGTTAAAAAAATCATTTCTTATAAAATCTTGACCATCACTTTGTTTGCATGGAAAATCAGTGCAACAATATATTGGCTAATACAAGCTTTAATATCTCATTTCTGCGAGGCTGGAATAGAATAATAAAACCATAAGGATCGGAGCAGTTGTTAATAATTGAACAGAGATATGTGTTTTGAGACATGACCGAATCTCAATTTTAGTGCTAAGGAATGTAATTTGATTTGGTTCAGATTAGTCAAAAGTCTTCCTTTTGACAGTAGAAGGATCTCCCTTTCTTTGGGATACTATGGGAATTGGGTTCACTATCATTTAAACAGGGTTAAATGAAGACAAAATTCAGATTCAATTGAAGGGAACACCAATATGCCCATGAATTTCTCAGAGCTGAAAAAGTTACAACTTCCAGAGTCTTCCCAAGTTATTTATTTGTACCGCTACTCCAAAAACACTGTCAAACGAAACTCCTGTTCCACAAGGATTAAAAGAAAAGAAGTGATTTTTCTAGACTCTGAATTGCAGTATTGGAACCATTTATCATTATAAAGGTATTTCCACTATGTAAATGTTTTAACAAACGCTAAAACTACCAGTACGTTGGTGAAAATCCTCAAAACTATTTCCAGATTTGAAAAAAACCTGACTCTCAAATTTATGCTCAGAAACTCTTAATCATCATTCAGCACTTCATGTTCATAATAGTCAGTGTGAATGTTGGATAAATAAAGTAATTCTTTACTTTTACTGTTGTGGTTTGAAATTAGAAAGGAATGCATTGGTTTAGAATTCAACAAAAATGTAGTGCCAAAAACCGCTATACTCAATGTGTGCTCCAGTTATCAAAATTTCCAAAAATCTAAATCAAATTTTAAATATCTGTTTCTTACAGCTCCCTCTTTCCTAGTTCGATTGCAGATAGAAGCTAGAAGTGCCAATATTTTGTAAGACAAATTGCACATGTGGTAACTCTGGCCCAAGTGAAACTAGGCATTACCGAAAGTCATGCAAGGTTTCCAACCCAGTTGCCAGACCAAAGAGGTTGGGATAAGTGTGCGTAATTATAGGAGCCATCTTCCAGGCCTTTTGCTTGTAGCCCATGGCCTTGTCCAGCATACTATGCTATCAAGGAAATCAAATTAATGGCCTTCATCAGTCCTAATTCTTCTTCTTTTGCTTTTCTTCAGAGCATTGTCATCTGTGGTGGCTTTAGGAGCAAATATAATCTGCAACAAAATCCCAGGCTTGGCCCCCCGGCAACGAGCAATCTGTCAGAGTCGTCCTGATGCCATTATAGTTATTGGGGAAGGAGCCCAGATGGGAATCAATGAATGCCAGTACCAGTTCCGATATGGCAGGTGGAACTGCTCAGCATTGGGAGAGAAAACAGTCTTTGGTCAAGAGCTCCGAGTAGGTAAGCAATTTCTTTTCCCCTTCTCACAATATGTAAATCCACAGGGTTTGGTCATCACCTACAAAACAGTGCGCATATACTCCAAAATAACCAAGGATTCTCCTCACTCTGGCTCTGTACTAATGTATTTTCTTATTACAGGAAAATGTGTGAATCTGCCTAGCTATAGCTGTATTTTCAGGAATGCCCAGATGTTATAATTTTAGAAGCAAGCATTTTATAAAACTAGAGATTATGGGTCATAAGTCAAAATATTGAAATATAAAGTACTCAGGCTTCAAGTACATAATAATTGTGCTGTTACACCCAGACGTTATAAAAATAAACTAAGATATGCTGCTCTCTATGTCTGAGCGAACTGCGAGTGTCTTTCTTTAGAAGTTTGAGATATTCAGCAACTGAGACTATTAAAGGCTTTTGAACATCAAAAAGGGAATATTTATTCTTCAAAGTCCTTGCAGACTTGGCACAGTTCATCAAGGTTACAAACAGAACAGTCAATTGGTGAAGCAATAGAGATGATTTTTCTTTCCTTTCCTTGAGTTATTAAGGCAACCTTTTCCCAAAATGGCAGATAAGATTCTGGAATCTTTCACCCTAACCCTGAGCTGCTATGGTTCAGAAAAAAGGACGGTTTTTTCCCTATCTATAGCTCAAGGTTAGCTTTGGAGATGAAGTAATGCTCAATATCTCAATACTAAATTTATCTATCTATTACTCAATCTTACTCAATCTTACTCAATATTTATCTATAGTATCTCAATCTATATCTGTTTCTCAATATCTATAATATCTCAATCTTCAATAGTCCTAACAGTACTTACAATGATTCTCCCAGAGCTACCCTGACGAACCAGCAGCACATCTGAAGTTCCTTCTCTAACTAAAGATGCAGGGGAGATTCCAAAATGGAGATCTCTTCCCTGGTAGAAAGGGCAGTCTCTAAACCCAAAAAGATACCTTCTAAGCCAATAGCTGCAAAAGGCCTGCAGACTGGCTTTCCAGCCTCTGAAACTGTTAACTTTCAGGGCTCTGCAGAGCTGCAACGTCCCTGGGAAAAATGCAAGGGGAAGCAACTTCAAGCAACTGTAAGGTAATGCAAACCAGGCTCCTGGGAGACGGAGCAATAATAGATATATAAGATGCAGTTGCATCAAGATCCTGCTTAGAAGTTTTCCATAGGCCACTTGTTGTCTGTTGTGTGAGCAGGATGCTGGATTACATAATATCTGGTCCAATCCAACATGATCCTTCCTATACTGTGACTAGATTCATCTAGACCACAGACCCGTACCTAATATTATTGTTGCCTGTCATAGCATTGCACTTAATTCCCGGGCCTCCTAGAATTTTTGGGCTTGCACAAATTATGGCCCGGGCTTTTAAATTTTTTAATTGCCTTGAACAGGCAGGATTACTTTTAATATGTGTGTGTTATGGTGACAATTTTTATGTTTATATTTTGTTTTGTTAATCTTATGGTTATGTTGTTTTTTACTTTATATGTTTTGTGATGTTACCTGGGAACCGCTCTGAGTCCCCTTGGGGAGATGGAGTGGTATATAAATAAAGTTTTATATCATCATCATCATCATCATCACCATCACCATCACCATCATCATTATTATTATAAGAATTGTTGGCCTTTTCTTTTAATTTTCTTGATGGTGACATAGTGGGGAGCATAATGAGTTAATTCTTTGAAATCTTAGTGAATAGTGCTGCTCAGACTATACATCTACTTAGAAGTGAAAAGTCACAGGGAACTCTGAGCCTTCTCTTCCTTTGAGAGGACACTTGAGAGATTCATAGTGTTTGGGAGGTATAAAGTTTATTTACTGTTGAGCTTTATGTTGAGCATCTTAGACAACCTCTTTAAAATTTAGGCTAAAATCCAGAATATATTCCCTGTTCCCATGACATGAAAGCCACTTTCCCAGTTCTAGACCACACTCCTCTGTTTGCCACCAGTAGTTGGAAGAAAAGATGAGTGATCTCCACCCTTTGCTTTCCTGGCTCATTCTAGCTCAGTGGTTCTCAACCTGTAGGTCCCCAGATGTTTTGGCCTTCAATTTATTTATTTATTATTTATTTAGAGTTTTTATAACCCAGTCTTCTTGACCTCCGGAGAGGGACTCAGGCCAGCTAACAACAGAGGATTCAATACAGAAGATCAAAGCAAATATACATCATCAATATAAAATACATTAAAATACAGTTCATACAAATTACAAAAAAGTCAGTCCGTCAGAGTGAAATCACACATTCATCGCCATCCACCAGTAGGTCAACGGTTATTGACTCAATCATCATTCTGCAAATGCAGTATCCCAAAGCCATGATTTTACCAGAAAGACATCACTGCATCCTTTGTCAGGTCTTAAGAAGCTTCCTTACAGGAAAAAATAGACATGAATTAGAAACACTGAATTATCTTTCAATCCATGGCACTGGGATGCAGGGGGACTCGAAAGACTCATCCAGATGGGTTCCAAAGATGGAATATTGCCTTCTGGCCTAATAATGAAACTTATGACATAAAAGTAAGAAACAATTATGAAGGGAACAACCTTGTTGACCTCTCTTTAACTTAAATGGATTGTTAACCCTTGAACCTGCCAGCTTGCCTTGTTGTTTTTTTTAACGTGGAATTTTCTCCACACCATTCATCCTTTTTGTATGAATTAGAAGTGGATGCCACTTTTGTGGCACAAAAGGTAAAAAAGTTATTTATATGGTGCTATGCATTTGTAGAATTGTTGTTGTTTTGGGAGCACGGAATAAAAATTGGCATAAAAGTCTTTTGAACTCGTCTGTTTGGATGCATTCATCTAATCCAAACTAAATTCATTACAGTATTGTTGTGTCAGTAGGTGGAGATTTAAGGCAAATCTTCGCTAATGTGTAAATGGGACATTTGTTATACTGTTCTACAGCTTACTAATGTACATGGAACTTTATTTCTGCCACATTCTTCTTGTTATTTCATACAAAAATAAAATTATTTCATGGTCACCCTTTTATTTTATCTCCTTTAGACCTTCAATGGTTTTAATAATAAACATAAACTATTTTGTTGCATAGTAGTTGCACATCCCTCCTTTTAAAATTAAAAATAGGAGTGTGCGACTATTACATAAGGGCCTTTTTTGGAGCTACAGGGCTTCCCTCAGCTGTCAGCTGAGGGAAGCCCTATAGATGCAAAGCCACCCACGTGCCTGCTTATGAGAAATACTACTCTGCAGCTCTTTCTGGTGGGTGTACAGACGGGCAATCCTTTACTGCTCACGCACCTGCTGGTGAGAGTTGAAGGGCCTCCCTTGGCTAGTAGCAGCTAAGGGAACCCCTTTGCTTTTGTGCCTTCATCCATCCACGTGCCTGTTCCTCAGGGCTACCAGGGCTTCCCTTAATTGGGAAGCCCTATAGCTTCAAGGGACAAGGAGTGTGACTATTATGCGAGGAATAGGGAACACAAAATAGGGAACACAAAAAGGGGGGTGCAACTATTATGTGATGTTGACTATTATGCAATGAAATATGATAGGCATTGTTAGGTTCAATTAAACATAAATCAACAAACCATATATTAATGTCCTTCTCATTTCATTAAGCAATTAGAAGTTCCAAATGTGTAGACCTAGTCAGGACAGATGTCACTGTACTTAATGGGCCCGAACATCTTAACATGGTGAGAGAAACTACATAGCAGCAGTAGAGGTGTGCGTATGTGAGAGACATTGCCAGAGGATCTCTGAGACAATGACAGTGGTGCTGCAGCTAATTCATGTTACTACCATACAGACAGAAACAATGGTAAACAATTTCTGAATGCCTTTTACCTCAAAAACACTATAATTAGACAATCCAAAATAAAACAAGAAATAACGCTGGAAGATGAGATTCCCTCATTGGAATGTATTGCTCACTGTAAACACATTCTTCAGACAACTGGATAGATGATTATATACATGGAGATCACTTGATGGCCAATATAGAAATAAAATAAAATAGCAGCAGAAAATGGAGAAGCTACATACTGTCTTCAAAAATAAGATCAAGTTTGGTTTGGAACAAAAATGAACCTCAGAACCAAAACCAAAATTATCAGGGAAGGATCATACCATCCATAGTCAAGCAGAAAATATTGGATGGCTGATGTAACTTCAAACAGTTAAGGTCAGGTAAGAATAAAAAATAAATTGTGAAGAATTATGGAGTCAGAATTATGAATGCAGCTGCTTAAGTATTTATACTTAAGTATTTACACTTATAATTATAGTATTCAATGCAAAGATATAAAAGAAGACAATAAAAATAATAAACAAGAGACCACAAAAGCAGAAAAGATAATTTAAAACCAATAATAGGGATTCCATAAGGCCAACAAACGAACACATTCAATGTTCACAACAATAGAAAAAGGTGATGGAAGAACTATATACAAGATACACAGAAGAACTTAAAATATGGAGAAACATACTGGGGTTTTTTTTTTTGTTGGCAAGAGTATCAGGGCAGAATGCATTTTCTAAAACTAGTTTTATAAATTTATACACAAAACATATGAAAAGTGGGATGAGAGTCAGATGAAAGAGGTATAAAAACTTGAGGAAGGAATGTGGACAAAGATATGCAGGTGATGCCATTTTGCCAGCAGAAAATAGCAAATATTTGGAATAACTACTGATAAAAATCAAGAAATTGCAAAAGCACAGTTAAAACTGAATATATATATATATAATCTCACAAATAGTTGAAGAATTCTGATGCCTTGCCTCAGTCATAAATCAAAATGGAAACTATGATCAAGAAATTAGAAGAAGAGTTAGGGCACATCTACACTGACCATTTCAATTGGTTGTGTCCATGGTGGCCAAATGCCGCACAAAACTGATCCTGGTGTAAAGCAGGGCAAAGCCACCATAACTTTACCCTGTATTAGCCAAAGTTATGTGATGGTCTATTTCTGGCCCAGAATTTGGACTATCCCCCAACATTAG